TTTTCAAATAAATTTTTAACTAATGTGCGAAAAGTGAGGCCAAAAGTTGAAAATTGTGAATAACTATCGCTAATATTTATTATAGGGACAGATGCTGTTGTATGATATCAAACAACAGTCGTTTGAAATAGTTTTACAAATCCACTCGTATTACTTAATAGTGTATTTGTAGTGCTATTTGCGATACAGTTATATTGATTGGACTTGTAATGCAAATGAATGAATAATACGATGAATGCAATGAATAACACGAATTGTTGACTATTTGAAAGTTAATTATACATATTCACTGAATAAATAGTATTTATTATTCTGTGAATGTAGAGCTAGAGTTTATAAAAATAAAAAACTGATGTATAAATATATGAAATTCTGTAATCAAATGGCATAAAGTCTATACCATAGACAACAGGAAAAATACATAATTATACCAAATGCAGTAAAAATGTCCATTTTTGTTGAATATTTTTGCAAACAATTAACTAAACAATAAAATAACACAAACTTCTTCCGTATTAATCATTCAAATTGTAACTGTATTTGGATAGTTATATAAAAGTATGGTTTTTCATAAAATTATTAAATATTCTCTGAATACTAAAAACTATAAACACTTTTACTAGTTAGTAATTTTACAACTAAGATTAAAAAACAGTTTTATAGACATTAACTCGTTTATATCAAATATTAAATTAAATTTACATTCAATAATTTACATTAAAAATATGAGGTAAGCTATTTTGTATATAAAATTAATCAAATTTAAACTAATTAATTTAATATAACTATTATAACAAATATTATAAATTTATTATGAAATGCTATGGAAAAGTGAATGTAAAAATAATTTTGAAACCGAAAAAAATAAAAACAAAATAATTTGTTATCTCAATGTTTTAGAGACAATATAATTGTGAAGAAGTGCAGAGAAATACCATATTTTTATGGACACAAAGCTATTTATTTCCTCTTCATTCTCAATGAGGCGATATTTAGCAATAAAACTAATGTTGGATTTGATTGAGTAATCTTATATATAAAATTTCATTGTTATGGGATTTTTCCCTTTATATTTCAGGCACAACACGTTTAGTCACTACAAAATCGTATCAAGTTTTAAGCGCTAAATAACCGATATTTTCTCAATTTTACGAATATCTGTCACAATATTAATATTTTCATTGTTTTATTTGTGTTAGTATTAGGAATAAGTATTATTATCAATTGTAATAAGTTAAAGTGCTAATTGTAACGTTTAATATAAACACTAATAATTGTTATATGATATGCAATAAGAAATTATTTATTTAATTAATTTCTAAAATTATTATTAATTATTAATTTAGTGCAAAGTATAATAAAATTTTAAAACAAAACAACTTTTGAAATTATATTTTGTTAACCGAAATATAATACCCAACGGCTGGCAGTCATCCAAACAAGTAATGGTCTGAAAGTGATATCTATTAGAGTTTTTTGAGACACTATTATAGAGACGACTCTTTTCTCTTAACTCGAGTATCATTTGTGGCAAAAGTTTTAGTCGAAAATTAATGAGAAAAAGGATTTACTGCAGGAGAAAGAAATTGGAGAGAAAATAGAAGTTAGGGTTCAGTTGTATACAAATGATCCTAATTTATAGATAAATTATATCTGTCACAACTCCCAGACAAATTTGTTAGCACAAACACATTTTTTATTTCTGTTTGTATTGTATTATGTTTTTATATATTTATCAATTAAGAAATATTTATTTTATTTATTCAATTATTTTTAATATCATGTTTTTTAATTTACAGAAACATCAAGCAATATGTTAGACAACAAGCAAATGCGTAAGAAATTCATTTTAAATATTTTGAATTAAATCTCAAAATAATTGTCTTTATTTTATAGATAATAAATAAGATAAATATTTATTTCAAATACAATTTACTAAATTATATTTATTTCAATAATAATTATAATCAAATTTAAAAATAAATAAAACTACAACTTGTTTTTATAATTTGTTAAAGATAATTAAACATTAAATGTTATTTTATATTAATTTAAATTTAATATTTTCAGGTTTTAAAATATAAAAAGCATTAATTTATTTAGAAATATAACCATACATTTTTATATTGTAGACTGAGTAGCTAGAAAGTTTTAGATTACATTCTGGTAGGCAATCATCTAATTTTTAGATTTAAAAAGTATATCAAATGTAATTCTAAACTTACTAAACAGTTAAAAATTTCCTTGAACATTGTATTTTGATTTATCTGTGTAATACAATAGAAATTCTTTCTAATGCAATGTTTAATTTAAACAACTGTATAAATCTTGTATAAATATAGTAGGTTAAACACTAAAATAATAATGTTATGAGATATGTTTGCATTTTTAAGTTACAAATTCCATTTACATCACAAATATTTTGATAATTATATTTGTTTTTACCACTTTTACTTATTATGTTTGATTGCTATCAATAAATGCAATGATTTCCATATAAAAAATAAATTACAATAATTTTAATCCATATTATGCAATATACTTTAATTTAACAAATATATAAAAACAGTTGTTTTATATTTCATTAATTATTAAACTATTTTTCTAAAAATGTTTACTCTAAATGAAAATTTCAATATTCAGTGTTTGCCAAACACCGGCACTGTTTAGAAGTCTATGACTTCATTGATAATAACGAATGGTCACAATTTGGTGCGTTTAGATTTTATTCCGCTTATTACCCGCTGTTACTGCTCCCAGAAGAGAGTTACTCTCTGTAGTACTTTCGCTTATTTGCCGCTTAACTCTTTGCAGAGGTGCTAAAAGTAGTTTGTTATACACTCACAAAAGTAGTCAACTTAAAGGACGAGCTGAATATAAACGGTAACTATAATGCAAACTAAAACATAAAACTAAGTTTTCGTATAAAGAAACTAATTTTTCCACCAAATAATTGGTTAACTATTTGTGTCGTTCAGATAATTACTCCATAAATAAGAGTGAGTTTAAGAAGCAATTGCTGCCAAAACTGATAGCCATGGCCTCGACATCGGGTCCACAGTCGTCCACCGGTTGGTCAGCGCTGGCAGTGTTGCAGATAATCCTCTTTAATGACTGGAAATTACAGAAATCAAAACTAAGCGAAAGCGCACTCAAGGCCTCATTGATTCCGCAATTAATTTCAATTTACCAAACGACTAATGAAACCGAAATCCATGAATTGATTTATAATTTGTATTTACTTTTATGTTATGTTATTTCATACGATAATAGAGACGTACGGACTCTACTCCTATCCGACGCTAATCTAATGATTAGCTCCACTATAAGGCGAGTGTTTTATTTATAAATCATATCTAATGTTTAGATCTAATGATAATTTATATTGATTTTATATTTTTCACAAAATCATAGGAATATCAACGAAACGACTGATGAAAACATTATCAGAGATTCGCTGCAATTGTTTCAGTTTTATATTTATTATTCAGAAAAATTTGAAATCATATCACAAACCCTATCGCCGGTTATATCATTATTGCAAAATAATAACCCAGATATTGTGATCGATTCATTGCATACGGTATTCATATTCGGTCAAAGTTTTCAAGAATCGAGAAAAACATTAATCAAAGCAAAGGTTTGCAAAGAATTACTGAATTTGTGGACAAACACTGAAGACTCGCGCATAATTAAGCCTATATTCAGTATAATCGCCAGTATTTTGGTACGACTTCTCCAATATAAAGACGAAATGTTATATAACACGAATATTTTGCAAATTATCCCAAATCTTGTTAAGTCCAGTGAATTAAATAAGATTTATGCCAATCATATAATCAAATTCATTTCAATGAAACCAATCTGTGCAAAGAAATACGCGCCCACTAAACAAATACAACTAATCATCAATAAAAACACAATTCAGTTCATCAATGATTTGCTTGAAAATGATAACTCATTTAAAGTGAAATCAAGTGCTTTGAATGCAATACTAGTGACCGCATATAATGCAAGTTTGGATCAATTGAAACAATTGACACAACAGGGTAAACACCATTTTTATATTTAGATTTTACGATTTAAATTCATTTTGCATTACATACTCAAACCTGGTATCATTATTTTTGTATAAAAATGCAAAATCTTATTAGTTATTTCCAAATATATAATAATCATTTGAATGATTAGGTTGTCTGAAGGCGTTGTGCTCTCAACTCGAATCCAATAATGAATGCCATCTGAAGACAACACTATTAGCCATATCTGTCTTCTTATTTGAAGAATATAAAGACCTGTTGAAGGCCGAGAAGTCACGGCCCAACCCGACCATCAATTTGTCACATTTTGCACTAATTATCAGAGAATGTGATGGTTTTCGTCTATTAAATGAGATAAACGAACGGCGAGTACACAAAGAAAGAGTGAATGAGAAGTATATTGTGTCCGAAGCCGAGAGATATGTCGAAGAAATACTATTTCTAGCGTTTGGTGTGGAAAGTCGTCCAAAGAAAAGGCAGCCAAAGATGGAAATGATGAAAAATTACAAATCAGTGAGAACTTGCTTGGATTGTACGTTACGTCTGGCGGACACAGATATCTTTGAATGCAATCACATCCAGTTATGCTGCAAATGTGCGGCCAGTGCTCTGCACAAGATATACACACAAGAGCCCAAACAATGTCAGAGGGATAACTGTACGAAAAAGATACCCAAGAATGACTGTCCCTGGTACTTGTTCAAGGGTAAACTTTTTGGTTATGTAAGTTTACTATTATTATTATTTTTTGGTGTAAATAATGAAATAAATATGATTTGAATGTTATGTTCAGTACAACGATCTCCAGACTCGAGTGGAAGATCGACTCGAACCCGAAGTATTGAAGTGATAATTATTTGGCATTAAAGTCACCTATTTATTCATCAATATTATATAAAATTATATCTCAGACTTTTATCAATATTGTTTATTTCAGTCTAATTAATGAATTTTACTGATATTTGTTATAATATCTACAGTAAACAATTCTATTATTTTTAATGTCTACATTTATTTAATCGTATTATTCAAACTAATATTATTGATTTTTAAATATTAATTTCTCTGCAGTTTATGTAAATAAATAAGTTTACGCTGTATGTAATCCTTTAATTATTTTGCAAGTTAATAATTAATTAATAAATATTAAATTTTATTTTAGAGGAGAAGATATTAAAATTTTAAAATTGAAATTATTTGTGAAAGTTCACAGAATCGAGTAAACAAATGAACGATTGAATTGTTTATTCAAGTATTGAATGAATACATTTGCAATAATAATGGTCTGAATGTGATGTCAATTATAAATCAGAGCAATCATTGTACTTCTGACACACATTTCTCTTGGGTCTCAAAGAGAGAGAGAGAGAGAGAGAGAGAGAGAGAGAGCGAGAGAGAGCGAGAGAGAGAGAGCGAGAGAGAGCGAGAGAGAGAGAGAGAGACTGTTTAATTCGGTCACAGCAATCATAATCACACAATTATATAATACATGAATAATATTCATATAAAATTTTACATGCATAAAAATTGTTAATATAAAAAGTTCTCAAATAAAATATAAAAATATTATTTTACAATATTAATCTTTATTACTTCAAACGACCTTACTAAATTATTTAAAAATTATACATTTCTATTAATATACATAATTTATATATTTTTAATTTGAATTATAAATAGCTTAAATTAATATAATACATAGAAATTTTCAATTTTAAGACCTATTATCTATTATTGTAGGAAATCATTTTTAATTTACAAAACTACAAAATATCATGTAATCTTTGTTGTAAATTAATTATTATATAATTTATTATATAGTAAACAGGTAACTTACTAAAAATATTTAACCACAAATAAGCATCACATTAAATGACATTTATTTGAATAAATCTAATGGACTCGTGGAAACTCATATTTATAATTTTAAAGAGATACTTTAAAATAAAAACCAAAAAAAATTTTATTTTGCGTTAAAATTGATAATAACAAAGAAGAAAGAGATTTGATTTAAAAAATGACAATAATTATGATTGATTTGAGTCATAAATATTATACGAAAATTAATGTAAAAATTAATGCCACAAAAATAATGAGCAGAAACCAGAATAAAATGAATTATACTACATATTGTTATTTAACATATCATTCATCAAATAAAACAAAAAACACAAAAATTACACTTTAATTTATTTTATTGTATTCGTACATAAATTAGTAAAACATTGAAAACACATTACAATAAATATGTTAAAAAATAAAACACCAGTGTTAATGAAACCGAAAGTATATTATATTGTTAATGAATAATAATATCGCATACAATAATCAAAAGCATATATTAATACACATTTAATAACATAATAATCTAAAAAATTAATCAAAAAAGACTATATTTCTCATTAAAATGTATAATAATTTTATAATTATATTTTTATGTTACAAATATGTGCAGCAAAAAGAGTTTCACAACTATTTTGTCTGTTTGTGTGAAAAAACTATTGATATGAGAAAAACAATAGAGAATTAATGATATGTTTTTATATTTCGCTACAAAAACCTATTGCAAAAACATCTGAATATTATTTAACATGTGATGTGTTTTGTGTGAATATATTGAATATAACGAGTGAAACATAATTTGCAGACAATTTCTCTCCAATGTATGTCTCATATGAGAGACTAATGTATAATTAAATCTTACAACTGTTATACGGCTTAAGTGTATGCAGTGTTAGCCATGAAATCAGGGCATTCAGTGAAATGACAATTGAATACTTTTAGGTACAGAATTAATGAATAAGTTACCAACTCTTTTAACTTACAGCAAAAACTTTGTGAATATGCTCAACATATATTTACTGTTAAGGCACCGATATTACAATACAAACGCAACGGAAAAGTGTGCATTTAATGCTTAATGTATTCATTCAGATCAATATACTATTATAAAGTTTTCTTTAAACTACTATAAAGTCGATAAAGTTCTTACATTTTAATGATTTTTGGGAAAATAATAAATATCTAAACTAAACTAATGTGGATAATTATGGGATTTATAGTTATTTATGAAATCTCATTATTGGATATTTAATTTTATTATAAGGACACGACTAAGATAATAATGTGTTTAACATTAAACTTTTGTAGTCAATCAAACAAATCTAATTTGATTTAAAACATAATAACAATGCATATACTTGCTAATAATTAAAACAACCAAATGGATGACCTGGTTGTGTAATAAATCTTCAAAAATTGAATTCTGCAATGAATTGAGAATCTGTTGAAAAATGTTGTGTTATGTGGCGGTACCTATTGTTGTGAATGGCACATGTGTTAAGCATTGTGTGCTCTCAATTGTAATAAAACTTTTGCTAATTTACAAATTATAGACTAAACTATTAAATTAATTTTTAGTACGGGTAATAATATATTAAAGTAAAATATAAACAAGTTATAATTTTTTTGGATAACAATTAATATAAAATCCGTTCAATCAAATATGAATTTAATGGAAACTATTTTTAATTATTCTTGTTAAACTTTTAATATTCATTTTAATAATTATAATGATTGGTGTAGGGAATGACATACTAGATATTTTGTTTACTTAAATGACAAAATTTAATTTACATTATATTGCAAATTAATAAAATATATATTTAAAAGTCTGAATTTTAAACTAGATAATAGAAAAACATATTCTGTGATTTCTAACATACATTTTAAAAATAAGTTTATTTGTAATAAATGAATATAGATTTAGTACATTATAATAAATGATCTAAAAAGTAGTAATGATTATTAATAAATACTAATATAAAATTAAGGCAACCTTGGGTATAAGGGGAACGAGCGAACCCTTTATTGTACAATAAATAATTGCATAACAATTTGAATACATTATAAACAAATCAAAACAAACATTTTAGGAGTGGTTGACAGTACTTCCCATTGAAGGATAGGGCTATGAATGCAAAGACATAAGAGATGTTTCATTGAGAGAGAGAGAGCGAGAGAGAGCGAGAGAGAGAGTCGGAATGGAGTGACATATCAAAGCGTCGACTTCTGGATCAGTCGAGTGGCCAATAATTTGGTGCCTCAAAAGTGTTGCCATTATTTTTGAATGTCTCACCACTGATGGCATTAATACAGTCTGACATATCGCCATTTGACACGAACTTTAGGCTGTGCTCTGAAGCTGCCGGTGCTCTACACAGCGCTGTGTGTGAGAGAGGGCTCCAGAGAATTGATGGCACGGATGAAGAAGTATGGCGTCCAATGATTTTACCTCACATTTGCATTCATTTATAATCATTGAAGCGAAACAATAATTGTCACAAATATATACCACTCTATTATTCAACACTCAATACTAGTGTATATATCGGGACACAGAATGTATGGAAATACTCACACTTTTCTACTCATATATTATATTTGTATTCAAAGAACTCTATATTTAAATGTTTTTGAATTTTAAATTATATTTTTCAGGTCTTTTGAATTGAAATTTAAATAAATTCTTATTTTAATCAAAATATATAAAGTAATTTCCATTATATTTGCACGGTAATTAATTCGGGTTTAAAATTTAAATATTTAATTAAATTCGTGAATATCTTTTTCAAACAAATTAATTAACAGATTGTTAAGCATATGAGAGAAACTTGAATAATGTTTTGTAAACTGCAATAGATTTTGATTTTAATGGATTTAATATATTGAATGAGTTTAAGTAAAAAAGGTATCAATATTTGTCTTTTAGGAAATGATTTGTTGTGATATCTTATAATGATTTCGTATTGTTTTGTAGGGAACTGCAAGTCTTTTATTAATGTTTGAATTTTATGCTTACCTTTTCTCAAAGTGTATTACAAACAATTTGTATTACTTAAAGGATTTAAAATCACTTTTCTTTTTGAGTGACTGAAGAGAGAGTGAAAGCGAGAGAAAAGAAAGGAAGAGAGAGAGAGAGAGAGAGAGAGAGAGAGAAGTCTTGATTTCGAAGTCTTGACTCTATTTTAGAGTTAGTTTTCAATACAGAAAATCCTTCAGTTTATATACAAAATGTTTTGGCATAACATGTCTTATACTCACTCTCTCACCACAAAAGAATAACTTTAGATCAGAGTTTATCCATTCAGTCCATAGCCCCGAAAGACCCAAATGTCACGTGATTACCACTACTCAAGACAAACACCATTCTCTCTCTCTCTCTCTCTCTCTTCTCTCTCTCTCTCTCTCTCTCAATGAAACATCTCTTATGTCTTTGCATTCATAGCCCTATCCTTCTTCTCTCATTCCCCTAACAAATACAATGAGAGGATTTACTGGGATTGAGGGGACGGCGCTATTGAGCCAGAAATACATTATACTATCACTTCAAACGCTGAGAACAATAAAACTTCTGGCGTTCACTTCGCTCTCCAAGAAATTTATTCCGATATAACAGTTATATATCAGTACTACTAATCAAAACATTTTATTATTGTTTTCATTTCACATTTCAAATCAAATTTCAGATCATTTTATGAGTTCTTTGTGTTCAAAAGTCTTCATTTGTCGATAAAATCATTTCAAATCCTAATTACTGCGAGTACTTAGCTTTTAATTAAAAGTTGTTTCTTAATTTTGAATTTAAATTAAATCGGTATTCAATGGGAAGGTCTTTGCATTGTATTCATAAATGAATTGATGACTGTTTTCTATAATTTCATGCTATAATAAAGTCTATATCTATTGCTATTTCATATATCACTCACTGCTGTGCCGTTCAAACAATACAAGCTTTCGTCTTCACCAACGAATGATCGCAAACTCTTCCTATAATCTTATCGATCCATACATTTCAGTGAGTTTGATGTGAAGTACACATAAAATGGTCGGCTCTTAAGGCCTTAAAACTCTAATTCTACAAATAGGTACTGAAATGTCATTTCATATAATAGTTCATTGAATCGTATGAACAGATTGTTATGTTTGAGAGTCTCGTTGTTAAACAGTCATACAATTCTGTACTCAATTCATATCTACTCTATAGTTATGCCTTCACTTTAATTAGCTTTCAAAATCATTTTCAGATAGCATTCATATATTTATTTGTAATTTATAAGTAATATATAGATTTGTAATTAAAGTTCTATCATTTTATAAACATTTGTATTTAAATAAAATAATCATTTTATTTCATTTTATGGTTTTTTATTATTATTAATGAATTTTTCTTTTTTTATACAAAAATTTCATCACATCTCCGATGAAATTGTTTTAAAATTCAGTTGTTTTTCCAAAAAAATGTTATTTCATTAAATGATTGCACAAATGTTTCAAATGGGTTTCAATATATTTGTTTCAAATAAGTGAATGTGTTTTTATTGATAAAATTGTTTTGCATTTTACAAAAACAAGAGCAAAATAAAGTTCAGCTAAAATTGATTTTATTTTTAAGTAAATTCCGTATAATTCTTGATATGTTTACACAATTATTTTTATATGTATTTTGTTGTTAGTGTCTAAGTATTGGCTTTTTAAATACATTTCCCTATATTTCTAGTAAATTCAAGTGTTGTTTTAAATTTTGTTAATAAAATCTAAAGTTAATTCATTTGTGTTGATTTGCGATTAACAAAATTTAATAAATAATTTTTTAATTTCTTAAATATTAAGTATTTGGAAAAATATTATAATTGTGTTGAAATGAAAATGAATATAAAATGAACAAAAATTAAGTAAAAATGAATGAAAAATTCTTCTACAGAATTAACATCTTTATACTAATAGTAATAAAAAATAATCGAAAATTAAAAATATATAACTAATAATGCATTACTTAATAGTGAACAAGAATTTTCTCAAAAATTTATGTATAAGTTAAGGAACTTTTGTTATGAAAAAAATCTTTGGTTTCCTTAGACCAGACATTAATTCAAATAATTTTCTAATTAAAACATAACTTGTATAGAAAATCAAATGATAAGTTATTTACACTTTATAATTAAATAATACTTATATAATAATATACATAATGAAAAGAATTGAGACCAAAGATACAACTAATAAAAGCTAATGTTTTGAATAGTATTCATGAAAATTGATAAACTTTTTTGAAGTAAAGGTATTTGAATGACAAGAATCGGTTAGTTTTTGGTTTGTGTGTTGAATATAAGTTATATTCGTTTTGGTATATACTGTATATATAATTGACTTACTTTTTGAGTTTGTTAGCAAAAAATTTTAATGAACCGACAGTAGCCTAAACCGATGGCCTCTCAGTGTTAGTGTTGGTGACAGCGGTGGCGCCGTACTGACAGGGACTGAGTCCGGCACCGGTGGGCTGTCGGGGCGACATCGGGGTGTAGGACATAGCGCCGAATGGGGTCACCGAATGCTGTTTGGCTTTGAGTCTAAGTGTTGCTATACTGGAGGCAGACATAGCATTAGAGCACTGGTCAGTCGCGGTTCGGTATGCGGTTACGTATGGAGATGTGGCCGTTGCCGTGGCGTACGGACAGGGGTTGGCGTTTTGGAGGCTGGCGTTCACGTTCTGCATCGTTGTCGACGTGTTGAAGCACGACATCGCCGATTGGGTCGCCAACGGGTTCACGTTCACTGAGTTCAGCGACGGCCAGGGGAACGACTTGGCGCCCAGCGGCGAGGGCACCTTTGAGGCCCAGTTGTTGTATGTGCCGTAACCCGAGTACAGGGCCGTCGTGTCGTCGAAGGGCGACTGCATTAGACCATTGAATTGAGAGCCGAACCCATTCTTGAGTTCTGCGGCCGCATTGCGCTCACGTTTACGCCATTTAGCCCTTCGGTTCTTAAACCACACCTAATATAATGACAATTCATTTAATACAATGTCGACTTCTAACAACGAATGTATAGACGCTGTTTTTAATTCAAAGTAAATTAATTTCCTAATATTTGATGACTTTTCTCTGTTATTAAGAATTTTTAATAAACATTAGACCCGACTTTTTCCTACTTTAATGAAATGAATATTTACAGCACTCGTGGGGTTTAGCAGAGTATAGGCGTGAAAGTGAAGAGTTGTATTAAAAATCAAATAAAATATTCATTTTTTATTATAATTACTTTGCAGTGAAATGACAATAAAATCTTAATATACGACATAAAGGCATATTAAACGCAAAGATATAAACTTTTTTATGACAAAAGAAAAAAGAGTATATAAAATATAATTTCATATTAATTAGAAGTTATGGCACTTATAATAAAATTGTGTGATTACTTGAACGCAATTTGAACAAAGTTTTAAGCAATAATAAGAGATGAATAAAACATTAGGTAAATAAATGCTTTAAACAAAATCTTTTCTTATCTAAAAGCATTAAAACAATTCCTACAATAATATTGTGTTAAAAACCATTGATATGACAACTATTTTGCTTATGATGTTTGCAATGCATTTTTAAATCACACATTCCTTTCATTATTGAAATCGATATAAATATGTGATTGAATGCTGTCATAGACTTACAAAACTTCTCAAAGAGTAGAGTTCATCAATCAAATTGAGTCTAATTTTGCTTTTATCTAACCATTACGTGAGTGCACCTACTCCTTAGTCAAATACCAGTCCACAAATGCATACAGAATGCGGAACTCCTATCAGAATTAGGGCTCCAGACAGTCAATCCACAGTCAAACATAATATTCATTAATTTATATTCATTTTCTTAACTATTATAATTTATAATTATTACATATTAGTTATAATTTAGATATTAGTAATAAAAACAGTTTATGGTAGCTATTGCACATAAGCTTTATAAATTATAGCACTATAAACAGCTAGATATTAATCAAAAATATAATATTTTGCTAATGATTATTTTATTGAAATTATTTAATTTATTTAATTTAACTTATTTAATTATTTGACTTATAAATTGAATTAAAATTGTCATAATAAGTAGCGGTCATAACTGTAAACTACAGACATATCCACCACTTGTTTCATAAGAAGGAATGTATGGCAAGAAATGGTGAGCACCTGTGTCTACACAACTCTCGGTGCCTCCACTGCCGCTAATATGTGATCATATAATGTGTCCGTCAGTTACTGTTAGTTAACAAAACATTAGTTTCAAAACCCATTGCATGGAAGTATACGAGAGCACAGACTAACTGAGGCTTTGGGTTAACCGTTAGGAAAGGGAGGAGAGAATGATATCGACTGAATAAATGGGAAAAGAGGGAAGACATACAACACATACACATAGAGAGAGAATACTATAAAATTGTTTCGCAAAAAACACTCACAAAAAGGCATACCATTCAAGTTAAAGACATAAAAAACATAAATAAATGATGACATTATTAAATATACGCTGATTTTAACTTAAATTCATTAATTGGTTTGTTATTAGAAACTGAGATTATTTACGAATAAATTACTGTATTTTATAAGAATTTTATAAAACACAATATTTCAAACATATTTTTTTATAATAACACAATTTGTATGCATATGAAGTAGTTGTAGACAAAAGTAGTTGTATTATTAGTGACAAAATGGACAAAATAAAAGCTTAAATTTCTAAACGATTATAATTTCAAATTTTTAAAATTTGTGTCGATTTGACTCGTCTAACAGTCTCCCTGATTATTATGTCATAAATTATGTTTATAATGGTTTAGTTCAAGCAATTTAATGATCATCTCTGAGGCAAACCATAACAAAATTATATATAGCCTATATATAAATACAAATAATCATCAAAAATACAGAATTATTGTTTTTGGTAAGTTTTGTCAAATTTATTTGTAAATATTATTTATTATTATTACTCTAATATTTTAGAAAGTTATTAGAAATATTAATAAATGTACATGTAGAATTTAAATACTCTATTTTAAGTATGCTACGATATTCCTACTACGTTGGTACAGTACTACAAAAATGGATACCTTATCAGAATTTTAATTAAATATAAAAATTTGTCAAAAACTATGTGAAGACATAACCTCGGTGGTAAAATAGTGTGGCAGTCATTGTGTGTCAAATCAGAGATATGACCGAAAATATCTCATGAGTATAATATACTCCGGGGAAATGTATGGCACATACAATGAGAGGGTGTTTGTCGTACAGACAGTTGGATGAGAGGGAGAGAAACCAACAGAGGAGGAGAGAGAGACTGAGAGTGAGAGGAGAGGGAAGAGGAGAGAGAGAGAGAGAGAGAGAGAGAGAGAGAGAGGGCACCGAAAGACACATTTGTGTCGTTTAGAGTCGTGTCTAAACTTTAGAGCATTTTGTGTCACAATATTCACACTTCTATTCACTCATTCTCTCTCTGACTGAACACTAACTTTCATTTCACTAAACATTTCCTCTGCAATCGACTCTCGGATTCATTATTTATAATTTAAGTTAACATTTGCCAAACACTGACATACAATCTGTTCAAATGAGACTCATTTCGCTCAATACCAGTGCTCTCTCTCCGTTTTACTGTATAGAGTAAGTGCTGGTGTTTTGTGGCCTATCGTTACCCATCGCGGGCTAACATTCCCTCATATAAAAAGCGGTTTGTGTTAACATATTAGCAATAATTTATCATTTTTTACTTGTTTTCAAAAATACTTTTAAACATATATTCACACACAAAAAAATGTCAAAGGGTTTTGACTTTGGATTATGTTTACAGTAAACGGTCCTAAATATCAGACCCACCACTGACTGGCAATTATGATAATATGAGAAATTCTATATATTTATTAATACACGACTATGTTTTTTAAAAATTGTAAACAAGACTTGATTATAACTAATTGATTTACAATAACGTGTATTTTGTAGGGAATGCACATAAATATGTATTGCAATGCTCTAGATACATTTAATTCCAACACTAGTAAGTACAGTAACACTTACAATGCAGAATATTCTAATTAAAGTTATATTAATACAGTGTATGAAGTCATACAATATTAATAGCAATGAATGAATGAAATATTTCTCATTTAACGAGTCAATAAATAGTAACATTGGTTTGGGGTGTTTGGCAACCCTTCAGACCCCGGAGCTCATAGTGAGCCCATCAGACAGTGATGTATCGCGAAGCCCAGCGCGCACTCCATAAACCCGTGGATAGTCTGTGCAAATGATGTCAAAACTATACCATTATTTATAACACCATTTAATTTCTAAACATTTCTCTTAACGATAACTTGAATATAAACCATAAATTGTGTTTCTATTCAGAAAATGCTAAAATTGGTTTTGCATTAAAAAAATAAAATACAATCAAAAAATATATGAAAAATAAGGTTTAAATAGTTTGTGACAATAAATTGAATTAACGGTTCGCCCGAAAACAACAGACTATGCGATGAAACGATAGGCAAAAACTAATATTTCGATGAAAAGTGAGCGATAAAAAAATAATAACTGTTTTGAATGATACGAAATTTAGATATGAGTTGACGTTTGACTGGATTAGCGCCGGGATGTTTGTGCGTTATGTGCGGAACACAGGGAAGAGTAGGTCTAACGCCGTACAGGAAAGAGCGGCGAAGAAAAGGAAACATAAACTCAATATATTTGCGAATAAATTAGGTCTAAAAGTAATCATAAATACAAAACTATAGTATAATAGCAAAGCGGACACAGCGTGCGATTGAATGACTCAAATGTATAATAATTATTATTGTCTAATAATATTCACAATTACGGCTAATACTGGTGTCGATTGTGAGCGCAAAATGTGTAAAATATGCCTGGTGTATTAATATGTATGTAAGCAGTGGTGGTGGTTGGCCTGCCCTACAGCCCTACCCGTCCACAGCTAACACTGATTCGTAACTTATTGTGTTTCACGAGTTGATTGATTGCAGTCATAACTTTGTATTAAATTCAATATTAGTTTATTATATTATATGAAATGCAATATTTTCTTTTATATTTCCACACTTTATTAATATCGCAGAATATATTTTATTTTATTACATAAATACGGTCTAATATTTATATAATGGATGAGTTGCTAATGAATTATGAGGTCTTGTAATATGAATTGATTGGTACCATATTGTACTAGCTATACATGTATATATACCAAGTACAGTATACTAGCTATACAAGCAATTATTGTGAATTTTTATGATCAAATAAATTTAATATAATAAAATTGCTATCAGATCACTTTTTAATAATAATAATTTGAATAAAATGTTAATATAAATAAATCTTAAAAAGTATATTAATATTCTGACGAAATGTTATAAAATATTGAATCTGATTAACAGATTGATAGAAATACACATAAATTAGAAAGTAGAAATGTAAATCCTGGTGCAAAGCCTCGATTATTAGTTAATCTATATAAATGTAAATATGTTAGAACCGTTTTGTTAGCATACCTGTTAAGTATACATAACCCTCAAGTGATAATTCAATTGTTTTAAGGCGCCTATCGATTAAACAAATTAATGTATTGCAAAGTCTGAATATATGCTGTATTTCTCATCAAATATTATAGATTCGCAGACAATGCAAACATTGAGAATTCATTATAACATATTGCATAAAATATTCGCAAATATTCCGGTATATTATGTTTTATATCACCTATACCTGTATTGTAACATTTATTTTCACGTAAATGTCTCAATATTTTTTATACAATATATTTGTTGATTAGAGAAAAACAGTAGTCAAACAGTATTACAAATACTGAACACAAGTATTAATCTCATGACTGGCGTCGAGATGTCCCAAAACTCATGGTATCTCATATTTGTTCCTATTTTTTGCTATCAATTGGAACACCATTTTAGGAGATATCTCAGTCTTGTAGTGATTTCATTGATATTTAAAAATACTAATATCGTAGTGTGTTTATTTATGGTAAAACTCTAAAATTAAAACTTTTTAAATAAAATCTATATAAATATATAGATTTGGATTACAATAAATGATAAATAAATTGTTTTGAGAAGTGGCTACTGATAAGACGAGAGAGAGAGAGAGAGAGAGAGAGAGAGAGAGAGCGTATGTTGAGAGAAAATATAAACAATAATAACTTTTCTTTATTTCATTAAATGCCAAAAATATTGAGAAATTAATTAACTTCTATCACATAAACAATTAACAGATAAATTTCAATTGTATTAAAATTATATTCACGTGAATTTAACTATAAGGTTAAGGAGAGGGCAAAAGGGTATGTGAGTGAATGAGTGAGAGAGGGAGGGAGAGAGAGAGAGAGGCATAGAATTAGTGAAACCCTACATAAAATCCAAGTATTTTAGATAAGAATAATAAAAAACATATCTTTTATTTATAATAATCAGCAGAATGTCAATCAAACAATTAGTTATTTTCAAAGTATAATTCAATTGTGATATAATAAATAAAAATATAAACCGTTATAATATAGTAAACAATATATTAAATTTAGCATATTATTATCATATTAACGTAATAATCATAAAAATAAAGACATCAATAAAGGATAGATCAATGGGGAAAGGGATGTAAAGATACATTAAAGGGAATATCAATTGAGTACCTGTTCCTAATAATTGTGGATCAGATAAAGCCTTAAAACCCCAATGCTTTTAATGTAATGAATGTTTGCTTTTATGACTGTTTGTCTCTATTTTTATTCTGATATCTATATAATATAGTATAAAAAGAGGGATAATAACAGGTATCAAATGTGTCTCAAACTTGCTTTACTTTAATCCATATTAACGTCTCAGTTAGGGCTGCCGGTGCTCTAACTCTTAAGTCATTGCACACAATACACAATCATTTAATGGGCAAATGTTAACGAGTAAATGCCATTAAAGCCAATACAAGTCCAATACTTGACTACTTATTCGTACTACAAATTACACAATCATTCAAATTATACTGTATTTTACCTTGTTATTCATATAAACCTATTAAATCCTTATTAAATATGTCTACAAAAAAATCAATATTTTATAAACTGCTTGTTTTCAATACAATTCTTACAAAAAATGAGTTTTTAATTTAAAATTAATAATTAGAAAACTTGGTTCAAACTAAATCTAAAAGTATATTTGCAGATAATATACAAACATGAAGTGTAAGTGTAATGCAAATAATGAAATAAAATAAATATAACTGTATTCTTTCAGAAAACTGTGATTATTAATAGTCGATATGATTGAATAAATATCTCGAGAATATATGGGAATAACACATAAGAATCGTCGACTACTGTACTGTATTGTGTAACTGCAATACAATACTTAACATACAATATGAGGTAAAACTAGAGGTATTCGTGTGTTTTGTGTTTGAATTTTCTAATCTGTCATATCTTAAAGAGCGGAAATCAATGATAAGCAATACATATATACAATATATACATATATATCTACAGTAATACATATAGAAAAACATATAGCAATACAATAGGAATACAGAATAATATCATATCATATATCAAACAATTTTTGAGACAACACTTAAGTAGTATATTATTGGCAACAAGTGATCAAACCATATAATAGGAGAACTGCTACCGAAAAGGCTGTGAATATTATAGTGAATATAATTGCAAATACACTCACAATTTGTTCACTAATTTTTCTATTTTGGCTACCGTTCCCCGTGTGCTCCCCCTTCCACTCACTCTACGCTGTCTTTCTGTCACAATCTATTGAGAATCTACTCTCTCTTGTGCTAAGAGAGTGAACACAACTCTCTACTCTATTTGCACATCCATTCCCTCCATTCCCTCCATTCCCTTACAGTTATTATACGTATATTTTAGATAAAATTTTTGTATAACTTAAACAAAACGCAGAGAAATATATCATAAATATGAAGGAAAGGCAAGTCTTGCAGCAGTAGTCGTGATAATTGAGTGTATAGTGTATAATAAGGTATTCATTGTTCAAATAGTTATTCGTTTATTATTTATGATTGTGTTGGAGGTAGTGATGGGTCACAAAATTTATCACCAATTTTTAGATATATTTATATAAATATATGGCGTATAAAGTTGTTGTATATATTTATATGAGTATAGGAGCTGTATGTTTGTCAATGATATATGTGCTCAACACATATAATATACCATAACTTAAACATAGGGCTCATAAATCATAAGTTATACTGTACTCCTGTTTTATTATCATTTATTATACTGTATATGATTGTTGTGTTGATATTATTTTTATTAGTCTATTATGTTTTTATTAACTATATTTCTCATATTTTCTTAACCATGTTAATTTGTCTGATGATTCAATCATTCATTACCTTACAGTTATGAAATTATTTATCATATAATAAACTTGTAATTTATATATTTATATATATTTCTAATAAATAAAACTAAATTTATGGTTGTAAAATTGTATTAACAGACGTAAGTAATCAATAAAATTTAATTACAGGCAATAATCTGAAATGCATTCAATAAATCAAACTTACAAAATGTACCTGTATATATAATACAGAATTTTTAAAATAAAACATTATTTACGAAAAATAGTTATTACAAAAAATTGTAATCATAATTGAATACAAATAATTCACACAAGACTGAATTTGTGATAAACATTAGAAAATATATTCACTGAATTGGTTGAAAAATACTTTTTGAGTGCATATACTCGACGAGAAAATAACTGTGCGATTGTTGCCCAATTATTATACTGTATATGATTGTTGTGTTGATATTATTTTTATTAGTCTATTATGTTTTTATTAACTATATTTCTCATATTTTCTTAACCATGTTAATTTGTCTGATGATTCAATCATTCATTACCTTAGAGTTATGAAATTATTTATCATATAATAAACTTGTAATTTATATATTTATATATATTTCTAATAAATAAAACTAAATTTATGGTTGTAAAATTGTATTAGTAGACGTAAGTAATCAATAAAATTTAATTACGGGCAATAATCTGAAATGCATTCAATAAATCAAACTTACAAAATGTACCTGTATATATAATACAGAATTTTTTAAATAAAACATTATTTACGAAAAATAGTTATTACAAAAAATTGTAATCATAATTCAATACAAATAATTCACACAAGACTGAATTTGTGATAAACATTAGAAAATATATTCACTGAATTGGTTGAAAAATACTTTTTGAGTGCATATACTCGACGAGAAAATAACTGTGCGATTGTTGCCCAATAAAGTTTTAACATGAGTTTACTGTTACTGTCTTATAGATATATTTATAAGTGTTTATCTCATTTTGTCGAGTATTTATAGGGATCAACAATAATCGATTCGACTAATGCCTCTAAACGCTATAATTGAACGTAAAATCACTTACTATTTTATAAATCACTTACTATTTATGAATCTTTATTTCATTTGTATTTTTCTTTTCTCTTTTATATTTTTTCTGCGATTAAAACAGAATTAAGTCTTTTATTCCTATATTTGTTTCATTCATTTCGCTAATGCATTGTTTGGCATTACTTCTAGATTAGTATTAAGTCATATGAAAACTCAATCTTTTTTGACAGCAAATGCCATTTAATACCGTTAATAGTTAAATGCCGTTTAAATACTTTTTAATATTGTATTATAATGTATTTATACTCTTTAATTAAGTTTCTAAATGATTTTTAAATTTAAATATTACTAAGGTTTAAGAATATAAAAATAAAATTCAAGAACTATACCTATAATGACAGTCAAAATTGAGTGATAATTATGCTCAATTAATTAAATTATTATTTTGAACCCCACTCCCACTTTGAACCAAGTGCCTTTTTAGGAAATTATAACTGCTACAATATATGTTTCATATAAAAAGCATACTTGTATTTAGTATTTTACTAAAAATAAAATTCAAAGCAAATAACAGTATTATGAAACTCGAAACTACTTAAAGGACTTAAAACTAAACCCATTTTAATTAGAAAATTCCCAGAATTGCCGATAAAAGCCCACAAAAATTGTGTCAAATGGTTGAGCGTCTCAGACATATTGAAAATGTTTAAAATGTGAATAAATGGCTTTTCCAGTACTGACCCTAACCCTGGCCTCAGTCAGGTTAGTCCACATGGCGATCTCCTCGCGGGTTGACATGTCTGGGTAACGGTTCCTCTGAAAGGTTGCCTCCAATTCCTGCAACTGTTGACTCGTGAAGTGTGTCCGCTGTCGGCGCTGTCTCTTCTTCTTCTTGGGGTCGTCCGCATCACTGCCATCGGCCTGACTATCGGCCGCCGCTCCGCTCTGAGACGGCTTCTCTACCGATGCCGTCACCGCATCTAATCATTGAGAAATATATTCAAATGTTTAATAAATGTCTGTCTCATTTGGGATCCGTTCAATAAGTATGTGAATAAAGGATTCTCAAAATTAACTGTAACACCATGCTATATTTTTATGAGATTTAAGCAGCTTGTACTACTGTATACATATTAAATGAATGATCCCTTAAAATAATTTTATGTCACTTTCAATAAGATTATAACATTGAAAACGTAGTTTTTATTGAAAATAATAAATAAGTAAATTAATGTGTTGTTAATCTAAACACATAGTTAGTGGAAATGATCACAAAAACACAAATTGAGACTTTTTTATGTTTACTGAGAAAAACAAATTTAGTGTTAGTTTGAGAGCTTTCATTAGTTAACACACATTGACATCTCATTAGTTGTGGTGATTCTGTTTCAAACATTAATTGTTTACGATATACTCATTTAGACACCAAAAGGCATTCACCACTATTTGTGCAGTGGTTTTGGGCCATACGAGAGAGACGGGTCACTCACTGAGGCCTCGCATAACCCAACATCAAGTAATGAATAGTAATAGTGGTTGTAGTGATGTTGTCAGCATTAGTATTAGTAGTAACAGTAATAGTGTCTGGTCAATTGGAGCGCATAACAAGTGACAGCTCTCTCTCTCTCTCTCTCTCTCCTCTCTCTCTCTCCTCTCTCTCTCTTTCTCTCTCTCTCTCTCTCTCTCTCCTCTCTCCTCTCTCTCTCTCTCTCTCTCGTTTCTTCTCTTCTTTATCTATAGTTAGTCTGTATTTCACTTCAATATATCTTTCGCTTGATTTGATTGCAAGCATCCCTCTCCTCCTCATCCCTAACCTCTTGCGCGTCTATCACTGGCACTGAGCAGACATTTTGACACACAATGAGATACAGTCGGACAACAAATGCATACAATTTGTGCGTTTGTGGCCTCAGATGTTCATCTCATGACTAGAGCTCATCATTGATATGATTGTAGTCCACAGTTGTAGTCATCATCGATCCAAACACAATGTCTTCAAACAATATCTCTATGACTGACTGACCTTTTTTATGACCACCATTGCATTCATTTGTTTCAATTATTTGTTTTATTTTATACAACATTATGTTAATGTCAATGTTTTTCTTATTCACATTTATAATGTATTGATTGACTTAAGCATTAATTATTTAAGGCCTTTTATTTTCATATCAATTAATTAACTAGTATAATATTAGACTGTTGATTATAGTATTTATATTCAAATAACTGTAACCGATTGCAATCATTTGACTACTTATGTAATGATTGTTTAACTATTCATTCATAATATGAGTGAATATATGGCATAATAGTAACATAACTGCTATTAAGTTATGAGTATTGGCCGCACATTTGAAGGCTTTATATTGTGTTTGACTTGCATTTGAAAATAGGATTAAGGATTAAGCTGTAAGGGCTGTAAGAGAAGGTGATTTTGAGCCCAGTCCTCAAGTGGCTCACAAACGGATTATCCGACCAAATGACACATAGACTGCCAGCGCTCGCTGTCTATAGTCTGCTGTGATTTTACAGTCTGTAGTATTTTAGTCGACAAACTCCTGGGTCTGGGAGTGAGTCGTGAAAATGGTATGATTTTGTCGGACTCTGTGTTTGTTTCACGCTTTCCTCACTTTCTCCACTCTCTTTACACTACTTTAAAGTGTATCCTCTTTTCTCTATACACAACAAAGTGATGGAAAGCACAACAAAAACACAGAGAAAGCCCATATATATACTGTACACTAGACTTATATACCGAGAGATGAGATTGAATGAGGAATAGAGAGAAAATGTTTAGAGAATTGAACACAACTTTCTCTATGGATATAACTGTAAGGCATAAGAGTTGCTGTGAATTGAATGCTAGAGAAAAGCCCATAAAACACGTCAACTCCGCCCATAACTCGATTGCATTGGAGTAAACATTATGAATGTGATGTTGAAAGCGAGTGGAAGGCGTTCCCCGCGCCGGCAACTCGCCAGCCCTTCCCAATTCAGCACTGCATGACTGGTAGCACACAATACGGCGACAGTCTATTAGATTTCACACTATCTCTGAGATTCATATTTTGCACTCAATTCTCAAGTCTTTGCGTCAAAAAAGAAATTTTTATTTAAATAATAATAATAATAACTAAAGAATTTATTATTATATATAAATATATATAACTATATTTATATAGAGTTGGCGAATAATATTCATTTATTTCATGTGTGCTCTTCTGACATAAAAAATACTAATTGCATTAAAAGTGCATAAATACCAGAATCCCATTGACTTTGAATAGCATTTGGAAAAGATTCTGAGTTTAAGAATAATGTCACCGAAAAGTAGTCGAAAGTTGTAAATCACTTATTATTAAAATATATATTTTGTTTGTATGGTATCCGTGAATACAATTTGTATACGAATTAGTGGTTTGAAAAGAAAAGTTGATTATATTTGCAAATATATCGCAAACTCTAATGAAAATGATGGACACTTTGACGGACCAGTTTAGCCTTCAAGACCTGGTGGCGGCGGCCAGTGTCACGTCGCACCACCACCACAACCACCAGCCCCAGAACCATCACCAGCACCACCATAACGTGCAAATACCCGACACGACAACCCATATGCAATCGTCGGGTGCCGCGCAGCCCCACAACAACAGTCCAGTGACGGCGCTCACCGCACCGTCCTTCGCATCCCCTCACCATCACGTGACTACTCTATTGCCGCCGCCGACCATGACATCGATGACATCGCATCACCACCACATCCATCACCTCAATCACGCCATGTCTTCGGCCAACTCCATGACCCGAACCGGTCTGTTGAGCGCCAATGGGTCCGAACAACAGCCCTGTTCTACCACTTCTGTACACGAGAACAATAAACACAAGAGAGGTATCCCTTAAGACATAAGACATGCTTCCTATTAGATCTATTCATATGAGTGCCAATTTGACACTTACCACCAGATTGTCAAATCTTTATTTCAAATTGAGTTTAAATAAACTTAAGGCTAAATTTATAGCTAAGGGTCTAATGTATCACTTGGTTTTAGGCCTAAATTTTTTTGACACCAAGTGTTTTAAGTGTTGCGCCCGTCATAACATTAAGGCATTTCTCGATTACATTCTCGGTATTAGTAGTTAACAAGAATAAGAGAGAGAGAGAGAGAGAGAGAGAGAGAGAAAGAGAAAGAGAGAGAGAGAGAGAGAAAGAGAGAGCTGTCACTTGTTATGCGCTCCAATTGACCAGACACTATTACTGTTACTACTAATACTTCTCTTGCGCGTCTATCACTGGCACTGAGCAGACAGAGAGAGAGAGAGAGGAGAGAGAGAGAGAGACCTACTATTTGTGTTGTGAAAGCAGTCATTCCTTGCCGTTAGGGAAGTGGGATTAAGTGCACCCTCCAGTTGAGGATATATAGCCATTCCATTATCTATTCTCTCATATTTAGCTTAATATTTAAAATTTTCAGTACTTTTAAAAATAACATTTCAAATAATTAATTATATAATATTTTTTGTTAGCGCTAAAAATAGAGAATTTGTAAATTTAGTGTTTTAATTGTAAAAAGAGGCAAATATAATGTGAATTAGATTATGAACAAATTTTCATATTTGAAATATACTGATTTTACTGTATTTGACTTTTATAATTCTAAAAAGTTTACTAAAAAATAAAATAAAAACTGTATATTTTACTAACGTATACAGTATATGAATCAAAACTTCAAAGATAGGCCTAAATACAAAAGTTTAAAATATCAAAAATTACTAATTTATATTGAAAATTGTATATTACATGTGAAATCCAATGCATTACTATATTGGACATTTAGGCCTATTTTTGAAGTTTTGATTCATATGTTTTATTAATAATTTTTCTAACTATAATTAATTAGCTGGTATATTTAGTTTATTATAAAACTCACAAATAAATAATTTCAGAAACATTGCAAACAGTTTGGCAGATATAATGAAATTTTTGCACCCTCCAGTTGAGGATATATAGCCATTCCATTATCTATTCTCTCATATTTAGCTTAATATTTAAAATTTTCAGTACTTTTAAAAATAACATTTCAAATAATTAATTATATAATATTTTTTGTTGGCGCTATAAATAGAGAATTTGTAAATTTAGTGTTTTAATTGTAAAAAGAGGCAAATATAATGTGAATTAGATTATGAACAAATTTTCACATTTGAAATATATTGATTTTACTGTATTTGACTTTTATAATTTTAAAAAGTTATTTAAACTTTACTAAAAGTTTTAATTTAGAACTTTTAATTCATATGTTTTATTAATAATTTTTCTAACTATAATTAATTAGCTGGTATATTTAGTTTATTATAAAACTCACAAATAAATAATTTCAGAAACATTGCAAACAGTTTGGCAGATATAATGAAATTTTTTATTTTTATAGATATTGTAAATTATAATTAAAATGATAATGAATTTCAGAGTATATTACATAAAATGAGTCAAACAATGAAAGTGAGTTCACATTAATATCAGAAACAATGAAAAATATAATAAATAAGAGGAGAGGAGATGAGAGAGAGAGAGAGAGAGAGAGAGAGAGAGAAAGAGAGAAAGAGAGAGAGCAATAAAGTGAGCGGAGGACTGGATGTTAGATGTGTAGAGACTGAGAGACTGTTTTAGTGGAGGAACGGGTGATACGATCATTGGATGTAATGATGAGAATTGTCTGAACATTAAGTGAACCAAAATAGTGACAAACAGTGCCATCAAAAGCACACAACAATAGCCTCAATACAACACAAACTCAATGTATCACTACTTTATAGACCAGTAGTGCCTGTAATGTGTGCTTCACATTATGCACATTAATCCGTCAGTGCAGCCAAAATACGGGGGACTATTTGGCATTAAATGCGATTAGCATAATCAAAGTGACACAGGGGCAATGGGGGGCATAGGGGGCAATTGGGGGCATAGGCGGGAAGGG